AGGGAATGATGGGGCGATGCAATGTAGGATCGAAGATCAGTGGTTGTGGAACAGGGAACGAAGGGCTGATGGCTTTCTTTTTTTGTTTTCGTTTTCAAAAAAGTTCGATTTCAAAGAGGGAATGATGGGGTGATGCCATGCAGGATCAAAGATCAGTTTGTTGTGGAACAGCGAACGAAGGGCTGAGCTCCATCCCCCCACAAAGTGAGATGGGGATTTGCTGTTTTTCTTTTTCTTTTTTCGCTTTTTTTTTTTTTGTTTTCATTTTCGAAAAAGTTTGCTTTCAAAGAGGGAATGATGGGCGATGCCATGTTGGATCAACGATCAGTGGTTGTGGAACAGCGAACGGAGGGCTGATCTCCTTTCCCCCACAATATGCGATGGGGATTTGCTGTTTTTCTCTTTTTTTTTTTTTTTTTGAAAGTTCAATTTCGAAGAGGGCATGACACCCCTGCTCGGTCGGGGGTCCGGCGTTCCCGAAACGCCCTACCGCCTCCACCCTTTCCGTATGGGGTCCGGCGGATTGGAAACGCCGGACCTCCGACACCCGTGCACGGTCGGGGGTCCGGCGTTCCCGATACGCCCTACACCCACCACCCTTTCCGTATGGCGGTACGGCGGATTGGAAACGCCGGACCTCCAACACCCGTGCACAGTCGGGGGTCCCGCGTTCCCGATACGCCCTACACCCACCACCCTTTCCGTATGGGGGTACGGCGGATTGGAAACGCCGGACCTCCAACACCCGTGCACGGTCGGGGGTCCGACGTTCCCTAAACGCCCTACCCCCTCCACCCTTTCCGTATGGGGGTCTGGCGGATCGGAAACGCCGGACCTTCGACACCCGTGCACGGTCGGGGGTCCAGCGTTCCCGAAACGCCCTGCCCCCTCCACCCTTTCCGGATGGAGGTCCGGCGGATTGGAAACGCCGGACCTCCGACACCCAGGCTCGGTCGGGGGTCCGGCGTTCCCGAAAGGCCCTACCCCCTCCACCTTTTTCAGATGGAGGTCCGGTGGATTGGAAAGGCCGGACCTCCGACTCCCGTGCTCGGTCGGGGGTCCGGCGTTCCCGGAACGCCCTACCCCCTCCACCCTTTTCGGATGGAGGTCCGGCGGATTGGAAACGCCGGACGTCCGACACCCGTGCTCGGTTGGGGGTCCGGTGTTCCCGAATGTTCTACCCCCTCCAGCCTTTTCGGATGGAGGTCCGGCGGTTGGAAACGCCGGACCTTCGACACCCGTGCTCGGTCGGGGGTCCAGCGTTCCCGAAACGCCCTACCTCATCCACCCTTTTCGGATGGAGGTCCGGCGGATTGGAAACGCCGGACCTCCGACACCCGTGCTCGGTCGGGGGTTCGGCGTTCCCGATACGCCCTACACCCACCACCCTTTTCGAATGGAGGTCCGGCGGATTGGAAACGCCGGACCTCCGACACCCGTGCTCGGTTGGGGGTCCGGCGTTCTCGAAACGCCCTACCCCCTCCAGCCTTTTCGGATGGAGGTCCGGCGGATTGGAAACGCCGGACCTTCGACACCCGTGCTTGGTCGGGGGTCCGGCGTTCCCGAAACGCCCTACCTCATCCACCCTTTTCGGATGGAGGTCCGGCGGATTGGAAACGCGGGACCTTCGACACCCGTGTTCGGTCGGGGGTCCGGCGTCCCTGATACGCCCTACCCCCTCCACCCTTTTCGGATGGGGTTCTGGCGAATTGGAAACGCCGGATCTCCGACGTCGGCACGGATGATGGAGGCCCGGGGGTCGGGCCTTCCCGAAACGCCCTGCCCCGCCATCCTTCCCGGGTGGGGAGGGGGGCCCATCGGAATGGGAACCCTCGACCCCCTGCCTCGAAAGGATGGTGAGGGTCCGGCGGACTGGGAACGCCGGACCCCTCGACCATGCACGGTTGTCTGGTATGCCGATTTTGCAAACCCCCCTTGCCGAAAGGATGGCGGGCGTATGGTGGGTCACGTGCCTTCTTGAATGTCTCAGACCACGTGCAAGTGCTTCTGTGTGTTCCTCATTGCTGTTCTCGTGCCCGTCTTTGTTTTGCGTTTGCCCCCGGCAGGTAAACCTGGTGCGCCGACCTCTGCGCAAAATAAACGGTACGACATGTCTAAGACTTACAACGACAAACCGTGGGCTCTTGACTGGGTAGGCGGTTTGCATAAACTAGGGTGTGGGGCTGTTATCTTCTTGAGCGATGACAGTGGCGCCACTTGGTACTGTTGTGGGGGTGTGGAGAAATCCGAGGCGGGTAGGAAGACCTACGAAGGGAGGACGTTTAGGACCTTCTTCCTCACGTCCGTCTTCGACAGCGTTGGGACAGACTGGGTCAAGGAAGACAAGAAGGTCTCCCTTGACCTGCGTCTCTTCCAAGGACACGGCGTCAAGGCTTTCTCCATGAAAGCGTTTGACGTGCGTGGGGACGGAACTGAATTCCTCATGCTTTCTCCGAAAGAATTTCTCAGGAAGAATTTCTCAGCAAAAAAAACGCCAATCGCGTCACTGGCTGCCTTCCTGTCGTCGACAGTTCTTTTCGGATGAGCAAACCTTTGGTCCAATTCAACAGTCCGATGGACCTGCTGCCAGGTGTGGTTAAGTGGTATAGGGAAGACTTCTCGAAGTTGCCGCCAGACCAGCAAGCGGACAGTGTTTTTTTGCCCTTCGAGGCGGGTTCCAAGAGCAGGCGACAAACGCCGTCCGCGACGACAGGGAAGACAAAGTAGTTGTCGGGTGGGCCGTCGGGCGCGAATCTTCCCTCGCCCTCTGTGAGGGGAGGTTGTGATTTGGCTCAAGGTTCAAGCGAGGCAACGGAGTATGATGACAGGCTTCTGCACCAGCGCAATGTTGGCCGTGAAAATTCCCAGGGCAACGCAGTTGCCCTGGACGAGGACAACGATGAGGACGAGGAAGGAGGAAGTGTCTGCCCGCATGACGATGGCGGTAATGAAGCAGATGTGGAAGTTGGGGATGACAACATGCAGGACCGGGGCGCGCTTGCTGACGAGGACGCCGACACGCGAATGCATGGTCATGACATCTCCCCCGTCGACGCTTTGGGAGCTGCACGTGGTCAGCCCTCGACGTCCCGTGGGATTTCGGTATCACAAAGCAGGAGTAAGGGTGGGCACGACTCACATGCAATGCAAGGACCGAAGGTGAAGAAAAGGACAAGGGAGACTTCTCCGTCTGCTTCTACTCCCAAGAGGCAAGCCAGGACTGACGCTGTTAATGAGGCTCGTGGAGCTTTGACAGCGTCCCAGGAGGCGCGGCCTCCTCGGAAAAACAGCCAAGGGGGGCGATCTGGGGGTCAAGGCGATGGCCGTGGGGGTGGTGGCCGTGGCGGGGCGCGGAAAGGCTCCCAGAGGGTGAGACCACAAGAGCTGCGGGACTCGGGGGATGAGGGCGAGGGAGTGGATCCTCGCATGCCYGAAGATGCTGATGAGCYGGTTCAGCGCGTCGCGCCCATCGACATCACGCGTTGTTTCTTCCTCGAGTACGACGACCAAGGCTTTGCTACGCAAGACGTCTATGCTCTTCGCGTGGACGTCATGAGAATCAAACGCATTCCCCGCGGAAGGATTCTTTTCAACCACCGCTCGTTGTCTGAAAACATTGTGCGAGGCATCGAGAATGTCATCGAAAGCTCCATCAGCACGGACCCTGGGGCGTGGGATAGGCCCGAGCTCGTGCTTGCGCCAGTTGACCGCAATGACATTGTCGGCGGCCAGGGAAGATGGATCACGCCGACGGAATTCTTGGAAAGGGACCCGGCAGAGTTCGACTGGTACGCTGTCTGTGGTCAGCATACCGTTGAGGCCATGAAGAGATTGGTCAGAAAGGACTCCCCGACAGTTAAAGTTTATGGCCTCAACGCGTACTCTAAGGTGTGGGTCGTCGATTTCGGAGATGATCAAACACAAGGGTATTTTAATGTCTCCTGCTTCGACAACACACACGAAAATCGCTCCATGATGTTGTCATTTGAGGACGCTGTCCGTGACATCAGGCAATGGTGAATAGACAACAATAGAATCGAGGCCCCCAAAGCCAAGATCAGCGAGAAGGATGAGGCGGTCTTTGCACATCAGAAAACGTGGCAAAACTTCTTGAGGGCCTGCATGGGGAAGGCATGCGACAAGGCGTTTGTAAAGCAAGCTCTAGAGAATGAGTACAGTAAGGATTTGAGTAATAAACTCTGGGGCTGCATGAACCTCGCCACATCCAGTGTCGCAGTGTGGCCGCTGGTCGAGAGGTTCTTCGAGATGTTCAACGAAGGAAAGCTGCCAGTTGGCGATGGCGAAATCCCGCTTGACATGCCCGGGAGGATGGAAGGCCGCCTGCTAGGCCCGTACACCGATGAGACCAAGGGACAAAAAACACTGTACCATTGCGTATATGCAACACATGGTCCCAAAGGCTCCACCGTGTCGTGGACGGATCTCTGTCCTTCCTACTTCAAAAATTTTGGGGATTTGACATGTCGTGAGAGGGAAGTTGCGTTGCTCCTGCTCATGAAGCGGGAGGTGGTCGCAACAAACGTCAAGGTCTTACCTCCAAGAGTGAACACAGAGTGCCTCCTCGACATCATGCAAAAGGAGCGGTACATGGTGTGTATGTTCAATTATGTTCTGTTCCGCGTAGAGGGAAGAGCAAACGACAAATGGAAGGACGCGTTCTTCATGTCGTACAAGGACCTTAAAGACAAGTATGGGCCAAACGGTCTGTGCGCTGCTGAATGGGAGAAGGAACGGGACAAGTTACATGTCAATAAGGTGAAGATGGTCCCTCGACGACTGGGAGGAGTGGAGGAGGCAAGGCAAGGTGCGGACTTGGGGCCTACGGCGGCAATGTATAAGGAGGCTCCGTTTCATCTTAAGGTCTTCATATACACTGCAATCGATAAGCTCTATTTGCTTCGTGCCAAGGTGAAACGGATCGCCTCCAGTGCGCGTCATATTGTGTGGGACAAGCTTGGCAAACAAACGACGTTGCTACCTGTGTGCATGCCATCGAAGGAAGTGTTGGCAGCGCCAGACGACATCGTCGCTGCAGCGCAAAAAATGACATGCAGGGCCGCCATCGTGGACATCCCATCCTCGAACTTCAACACGGCGTGGACCTCTCACGAAATTGATGCCTTGCACACACTGATGACCAAGTGTTGTGGCCAGAATTGGGTCCTTTTCTTCTTTGCACCACAGAAGGTGCAAAGCGATGTTCTGCGTCACTTGTTCTGCTGGGAGGACGTCGAAGTCATCCCCGGTACCTGGAAACGGGTGGACAGGCCGCCGAACGACATCACACGATACAACAATATGGCTACGACAAGTCGAGATATCATGGTCATTGTCCTGCACGCCGAGGGAGGGGATCTAAAAAAAGTAACTGTCAAACCCAAACTTCACAACGACCTCACAACCGTGCGCGTTGTGGAGGAGAAGTTCGGGAAGTGTCAAAGAAAACACAGTGGGATAGAGGGCGATGATAGTGCGGTGTATTCCATCTGGGAGCGAGAGCCTGGAAAATTGCGTTCGTTGTGTGGGTCATTTGTCGGAGAGGTGGAAGGTTTGCTTTTGTTGGGTAGAGCGCACGCAGGTCTTGTGTGGGAGTTGTTACTGGCAGGTAATAATGTCATTGCCTGCGACGAGTCGGCCAAGGACATTGCATGTCTGACAAAGTTCGTCGATATACTTGTGAAGGATGAGAGATTCGCCTGTCATGTTGAGAAGCCACGTTGCAAACATCGTAGCAACAGGGACATGTTCCACAAGTTGGGACACAAGAGACTGAAGGTGTGGAAATACCTGTTCCGCGATGCGCCGCAAGGACAGCTTGACGGGAATTACATCTACAGGAAAGCAAAGGTGACAGAGACCCTGAAACATTATCACGGTGCTCTTACTGGCGCCTTTGAAACTTTTGTTGCTCGATGCGAGATCCTGAAGTTCGATCTTCATAAGGACCAGCTGACGTCCAAGGACTACGCTGACCTCGCAAAATCGGGTGACGGCTTTAACCCCGTCGACAACGAGGAAGACTCTTCGGAGTCCGACCTCGAATTGGGCGAGGACAAGGGTGGTGAAGGTCCGGGCGGTGGCATGGTGCGGTCACATGATGAAGGAACCGTTCACTCATATGAAAGACCCGTACCGGTAGCCGCCCACAGTGTTGGCTCGATGGTGGCCACCATGGAGGGCACCGGTTTGCCAAACATGGGAATATGTGGTCCCAATGATGAAGATGACATTGATATGTCAGGCGAGGCGTCGAAGCTCGCACGAGGCGATCCAATTCCTCCCGGCTATTGTGCTGATCCGACCACAATTTATTTCTTGGGGGCCAAACACGCCCGCACTGGTGAGGACAAGTGGGGCCATGACATCGTGTCGCATGAGGGCATTTTTGAGCCCTGCATCCAAGATGGGGAGTGGAAGATGGCGGTCAAATACACACGCGGATGGCAGACGTTTCGCCGGATGTCAAAGGACACTTGGCTGAAAACGACGAAACTCGCGATTATGTACCACGTGCAAAAGGAGAATCCAGGGCAGAGCGAGGGTGCTGTCAAAGACAAGGCCAAAGAATTGTTTTTTGTATTGCGAGACAATCAGCAGTTGGAGTACAGTTGGAAATTTTACGCCATGCGAACGAGTCCCTCATGTGGGTCAATCGACTGGAAGGTCAATCAGACTATCGGAACCATGGAGGAGAGCTGCTCTTAGGATGTCGTGCCTTTGTCGGCATCGCCCCCCGTACCCACGCAGGCAGGGCAGAGGGAGGATGACGGGACTACAGTGGTGAAGACTCAAGAGGTTCACATGACGTCTATGTCACAAATCTCCGTCGCCACGACAGAACCGTCCAAACGCATGGATGTGTCAAACGCATTGTCGTCAGATGCAGGTGCCACGTACGGGAGTTTATTACTGACATGCGCCGCATTAGAAGGCACATCCGAAATGCAGTCAGAGTCAGGTGTTGGCCTGAGCGTGCCGGACAGTCAGTTGCAACTGAAGTTATGCATAGGCAAAGGTGATGCACAATCACTGCTGATACCACAGGGAGGGGCCGCTGCGGATGGTGGGAAGGGAGGGGATGTGGAGGGAATCCTCAATCCTCGCAATCTTGAGACCTTAACCGATGATTTTGATTATGGGGGTGAGGGTGGAAATGACGTGGTCAATACGAGGGGAGTGTGAAATGATCGGTGAGGCGGGAGGGGGGCAATGGAGAGGGAGAAACCAATGATATGATTACAATGTTATTCTTTTCTTTGTTGATTGGAATCGCTCAATTGACTCGTTTGTTTTTAGTTCCAAATGGAACTAGTATTAGTCTTCGTAGGCACTACGACCACCTGATTTTCTTTTATATATATATATATTTTTTTTTTTTCCTCAATATTACGTTCGACCTAAGATGTTTAGGATACTTGCCCTTTTCGATGTGGATGTGTGTATGCGGATGTATTCTGACTTGGATCTCTCTCTCTCTCTCTCTCTCTCTCTCTCTCTCTCTCTCTCTCTCTCTCTCTCTCTCTCGTTCCGACTTGGATGTGTGTATGCGGACGTATGCAATGAGGGTGGCCAAGGTGCGAGGAATAAATGATTGATTGTATACGTGAATGTCGTAAATGCAAGTAAAAGATTAGAGAAACATTGAAAACATGTGTTGCATGCATTAGCTCCCATAAAGCATTTGGCCATGCACTCACCATCCTTTCCCCATCCGCCCGCGTGAATGTCGTCTTCCTCATGTTTGTGGTGTGTAGTGCAAATGACAACAACTGATACAAGATTGTGCAAAAGAGGATGAACAATGCATCTCGCAACTTCGTCTTTATCAAGGAGGGAGACGGCGGCCTTGACGCGTATCATCCGCGAATACGGGAATAGATATCCCATAGCCACCACACACGACGTATACATGAACGAGGTGTTGCAACTCACTCGCAATGATTTCCTTTTACTCGCTGTAGAACGTCAGTGGTTAAACGACAATGTCATCAACTTTTACCTCAATCTCATACCATTGGACAACTGGTGTAGAATACAACACGTAGAATGCGACGCGGAGAATAAGATAGTTATTAGAGAAGGAAAGGGTCGCATTCCTAGAGTATCAGTGCTGAGCTCATTTTTGTTCGTCAAACTTTTTGACAATGAAATGAGATATAGAGGTCGAGAGGTAGAACGCTGGTGTCAGGACGTTATCATAAGTGACATGGACTTGATTATTGCTCCTTTCCATATCGAACACAAGAACCACTGCACCCTTGTCGTGGCTGACTTCAGGAGGAGGAAATTCGAATTTTACGACTCCCTCGAACCCGATATGGAGTTGGCGAGAAAGGTCACCGGCGGGTTTGCCAAGTTTATATTCGAAAGATCGAAATCGCAAGGCAAAGAGGTGGACACGAAACTATTCAATCACGTATGGAATGTGGTGGGCATTCTGAAGCAACACGACACGAACGAGTGTGGAGTCTTTGTGCTCACGTACGCATCACTGTTGGCACGGGGCCAACTTCCACCTTTCTTTTTCACTGCTGATGATATACCCGCGATACGTCATCGAATGGCTTTGGAAACAGTGACTCGTGAGTAATGTGTATATGATAATCCATAATATGATTTGGAGGGGGGGAGGGGGGGGGGGGGGGCGGATGCCACAAGATAGTTTGTGACAAAAACAATTTACATAAGGTGTCAAATATTACTCGATACGCTGTGCCACTTGACCCTTGCAATTTACCACATATCCCTTACACCTCACAGCTTACACCTTACCCCGTTCACCTCACACCTTGCCCCTTACACCTTACCCCTTACCCCTTACCCCTCACCCCTTACACCTTACACCTTACACCTTACATCTTACACCTTACACCTTACACCTTACACCTTACACCTTACACCTTACCCCATACACCAAACATCTCTTTGTAATGGTTTTTGCACCTAAATCAGCTCAAAAATGACAATTTCAATTTCGTTCAAAAAATATAAAATGTCCGTTTTGACGAAACCGCTGTTTGTGCTCGTCTTCACTCCGTGTGCGGTAGTGGAAACCCTTGGATTCGTAGCGCTCAAAGCGCTGGCACTCGAGTGCGAGGCTTGTGGGGTTCTACTGCCGCCTACGGGATGACGATCAACTCGTTAAATGGCAACAATACCGAGTAAGGTGGAAAGTGTGTATTGATAATGACAAACCCAGCCTCTACGAACCCTGAACAACGATTTTTCGGAGGGAAGTAATATCGTCCGCCGATCCGTGCGACAGCTTCTCATACGTCCCACTCGCATAGACGTGTCCTTTTCTCGTCGTAGGGAAAAGGTCGCATTGAGGCGGGAGATACTGCAGGCTGACGCCCGATCGAAGGGTGTTTGTCAGTCCACATGGCAATCATTTGCATAAATCCCGAGACGTCATCAAGGAAAAACACTCGCACAACTACCAATCAACTCGTTTTGACACGAGAGAGAGAAAACACTCATCAGCTGGATCATGTATGTAACTGAGGGACCGACCCGCGACTCAGGTTTCGTAAGCCACCGCGGCGTTGATCCCAGACGCCTTGTTTCTCGAGGCTGCCCTGTACATCATTTGCAGATGTCGTGCAGCATAAGGCAGATGGCATGCGCAGTGCATTCAAAACTACAGATCTAAACACTCTTGCATTATCGGACAAAATCCCGTCGAGTGCGGCGTCTAATCAATACAAAAAAGGCAAACATCCTCATACATACATTCACTGTGCTAGGTGCGAAAATGACCGGGGTGCACGGGTCGGAAATCAACCGAGGGGATTGTACACACGCATCCACCGTTCGCAAGACAGGAGGATTAATTCCTCGACATTCGGGGATTACCAAGGAAACTAATGGAAGAGTTCCGGAAGAAGTTCCTTCACACCAGAGAGCACACAAATTCATTCTCATTCATGAGAGGGACAAGCATCAAGACACATCGCCATTCAAAGATAAAGGAGAGAGAGAGAAGAGAGAGGAAGGTCGAGATAGGAGATGACAAGATCCGAAAAGAGGAAATTTGGCGTTGCCGCAGTACACTCACGCCATAGATAAAGATCCGCAACAACAAAGGCGCATTCGACAGAATTCCAATATGGTCCCGGGCCAATCACCCACTCAACTCCAATCATCGATCCTCATGCCAGCACCGACGATCCCGGCCGTCGCGTGCTGACTCTCACCACTTCGATCGTCACCCCGTTGACGTAAACTCGACGCGGTTCGCCCAGATCCCACAGTCCGTCGTGGCGATCAAGCGCGCAACCGGCCAGCCTATCGTCAGCCCGACAGGACTTTCCAACTCGCACCAAACACTCTGCCTAGCCACTGCTTCCCGGAAGCTGGCTTGGGAGTCAAGAACGTAAGAGAGATTTGCGGGTGCATTTGCGGAATTTATAGTGGCGAGAAGGGGGGCAAGGGAGAGAGAAAGCACGGGGAAAATCGAAGTGTAAGAAAAGAAGCAGGAGGAGAAGACTTGGCGGGGAGCGCACTACGGAAGCCATGTTGATCCTTTTGAGCTTCGCCAATCAGATTCGTCGCGCAATAGGCAGATCCTATCGTACCACGCGTCTGATTGGTGGGCGAGTAATTGAAGGATCGACCGGGCTTCCGATTCATGTTCAGAAAGCGAAGGAAAAAAAGGCGCGAGAAGTAGCGCAAGACGGGTCCAAGATTCAGATGATCAAGAAAGGGAAATGAGCGTGTAATCGATCAGAGCGGGAGAGAGAGAGGGAATACAGT